AAGAAATAACAAGTTCTGTGATTAGAGATCACTGTCGTATGCAAACTCTGCTTCAGGGATTGATGAGGCTCAACTCTCATAATTAACAGAGATGTAATTGTTTTTGATGGTGAAACATGATGTAATATAAAATCAATCCCCAAAACATTGAGCACTGTGTATGATGTCACCTTCATACAAACATTAAGTTTTTGTTTTTTTTTGTCAACAGTGAAATGTTAATTATTTTGGTTTTGTAAAAATAAAACAACAGGCCATTATACAGTCCACATTGTCCTGAGATGCATTGTTTTGCTGAGTTACAGCTCTGTTGCTGTAACTGAGCAAACCAAAACAAAAGTTGGGCTTCTGGATAACATCTCTTGATTCCTAGAGTTCAATCGGTAAGATGCTACCAGGTCTGGGGGATTTATGCATTTTGACTGCTTCTAGTAACCAAAACACTTCCCCCTCAGGTGCTGATGCTATTGAATACAGTATTTTACCTTTCCACTGCTTGAGGTATGTTGTTGACTTTTTCCTTAGTGAATACCTGTGTGAAATATTCATTTAGTACATCAACCATTTCTCTTTCATTGCCTATATGTTTCTCAGTTTTGTCCCAGATATATTTTACTTCTTTCTTGACAGCTCATTTGCTGTTGTAGTACTGAAAGAACTTTTATTATTTATTTTAGCCTCCATTGCGATATCCCTTTCAATTTCTCCTGTGACCTTTGGCGATTTCTTTTTAACCTATGTTTGCAATTCATTGCACTCTTTTACTTTAACGGCATCCTGTTGTTTTTTTAAGCATTTTATAAAACACTCACTTGTTTCTTATATTTTTCCTAATTGATTTTTAAACGGTTTAGTTCAAGTTCAAGTTCAAGTTTATTGTCATTACACTCATATACATGGTATATGGTATAAAGAAATGCTATTTAGCTACAGTAACCCTCGGACATAAGCAGTACAAAGAGAAAACAACAACAACAACAATACTATTGTGTAGCAAAAGAAAGACAGAGACAACAGGTAGTGTGCAAAAAACAACAACAGACGATGTGCAAAAATCGTCTGTTGTTGTTTTCTGTAAATTCGTATTCTGTCTTTGAGCTTTTGGTTTACTCACGGTTATTTTTTCTGTTTAAACTGTTGCCGTCCCTTCTCCACTGATTTCATGGCTATTCCATCCCATTTTACTTCTCTAAAACTGTGTCCCATTCCTTCCAACACTTCTTTTATGGAAATTCTGGACTCAACCTGAACAGTTTAAAAAGATACCTCCAAGCACACTGTGTTCCGATCACAGCTCTGTAATGAATTTCGCACCTCTGTTTGTCTCACTCTGTCCTGATTGGAAAACAAAATCTACTGTATACAAGCATTTCCCCTTGTAGGTGCTCTGACAAATTGGATAAGAAAGCTGTCATTCGCCATGTCCACCATCTCCACCATTTCCGTGTCTGCTGCTGATTTTCCTATAGGTCCTATCATTTTCCTATAATTAAAATTGTGAAAGTTGAAGATTCCTATAAAAATGTATTCTTTTGCACATAAATTCTGAATTACATTATATAGTATATATAGTATTGAACTGTGATCAACCTCTACATTCGGTGGTCTATAGCATCTAACACTGTCTGAATAAGTCTGTCCCACATAGATTCTGAGTCTCTGGATTCTTCTAGCTTACATTCCTGAGTCTGAATGCTCTTTTTGTTATATTGTGTAGCGCTATACATACCTTGCTTCAGACTAACTCCTGTGTCTCAGAAATAATGTGCGTTAAGATTTTAGTTTTCCAGATTTTAGCACCTGTGCAATGAGACTGCAAATTGATGCTCTTGCTCATTATTTCATCCCCCTGTAGCCAGGTTTTGAGCCACACTTCTTTGACTCCTACAACAAGCTTATACATTTGCTTTTAAGTCTAACACTTTGTTTTTAACACATCTAGCACTGAGATGTTTGCATTCAAAGAGTGGGGTATCAGAGATGCTACTTTTTCTACTTCCTCTATCTTTTCTTTGCAATTTTTTTAGGAGATTCCCTCCTGTCCTTTCTATTCAACACAGTATTCCATTGTCTGATGTAAAAATAACCTAGGGTGATAATGCAAGAGTCCCTCTTTCTTTTTCAATTATTTTTCAGTCAGAAGGGTTTGTTTTTTCCTGTCCTGAGAACAAAGAAGAAAAAGCAGGGAGGCTGGGGTCTGTGTAACTCTCTAAAGTATCTGTAGCCCTGGTCCCAGAGCTCTCAGGGTTTTCTGGTTCATTTTGCTAAACTGAAACAGTCACTGACTAAACTAGTCAGGATGTTTAGCTCCTAAATGAAGACAAGTTAACACCCTGAGGTACTTCTTTATAGCAAAGTGCAGTGTACCAATGGAGTCATCTGCCTGCTGACATGAAGCCCTTCAGCTGCCAGGGTCACTTTTTGAAGGGGAGCATAAGGGAGCACAGTGCGGAGTGACCTACAGCGAACCTGAGGTCCTCAAGGTCTTACAGCAACCAAAAGAAACTGAGTTTCACATTTCCCATCTTGGAGCAGAAATGTGTCAGCCCTGAGAGGAAAGACTGTGGCGGGTCTTGTGGTTCACAAGTCAGCGTGGCTAGGGAAAACAGACCACCGGCACTGCCCACAGATCACAGCAGGGAAAGACAGACACTGAAACAAACAGGCAGTGGGATCTGTGCACTAGATCTCCTCCTGTGACTTCACCTCCGTCTGCAATGTGGAATATGGAAACCAATGGGAAACGGGGACAAGAACAAGAATCCTCCTTCATCTGGTTGGTCTGCTGCACCAGTTCACTTGTAGGATGTGTGTCTCTGTTACACCACAGAAACTGCGTGATGTACAGTATACAGGGTATCTTCAGGGTGATACAAGCACTTTCAGGAAGTTCAGAAATTTCCAAGAAGCTGAAGATTTTTAAGAAACAAGTGATAAGTTTATTCTGTGTGACACACCTGAAGAAGGCTCCACAGCCGAAACGTTATGTTTTCTTTCTTCTCTTTTCAACATGGAATAAACCTATTACTTGTTCCTTTGCAGCCTACGCATGCTGCCGCAGCTAACCAACTGAACGATTTCTAAGAAAGGTTGCAATGCAACAACAAATTGTTGGTTCACTAAATATAGCAATACGTCTTGATCCGACAGGGTGTTAGATGAGTAAAACATCACTCTGGTCTGCTCTACTCTTAACTACAGAAGGTTTCCAAGCATCTGCTGAAACAGCAGTGAAGAGATCAATCTGCCTGTCTCTCTCTCTCTCTCTCTGATGCACAGAGAGCACTTCACCTGTTTTACATAAGTTTCTTTAGCTTAGTCTTAATTGTATCATTGTGCTGTTGTGGAAAGTTTAACCAGTGCTTGCATTTGTATTAAAATTTTCCACAGACTGTAATTGCAATGTTCCTCTCTGTGGTCATTTGTTCTTAGCACAGTAAATAACATAATGACACTGCAGCCCAAGTGATATGATTTCTGTTGAAAATGTGTTTCATTTATGATATTCATTTCATACAAAATCACAAATCAGATAAGATCTTTTGACTTCTTCTGTGCTTCAGATTCATACAGCACCTTGGTATCTCACAGGAAGCCTTGCAGTGATACTGAAACACGGCAGGCAGAGTTCTCTAACAGTGTGATACAGTGTAAAGATTGTAACTTATGTTGTGTGTTGTGATACAATGTTATTGTGTTAGTGTTTTATGTTCACTAACAGTATGATAAAGTGTAGGGATTCTTGCGTTGTGATAATGTCTTTGTGTGTATTGTTTTCACCAATAATATGATATATTATAAGGATTTGGTGTGTGTTGTGAAACAGTGTCATTGTGTTAGTGTGTTGTGTTCACTAACAGTGTGAAACAGAAATGTTACTATGTTGTGTGATAATAATAATTGCTTACACTTATACAGCGCTTTTCTGGACACTCCACTCAAAGCACTTTATAATAATAATAATAATAATAATAAACTTTATTTTATATAGCGCCTTAAAAGGTGGCTTCTCAAAGCGCTTTACAGGATGACAATAACAATAAATAAGAAGACTACAACAATAAATAAGAAAATTTCACAAGACAGGACACAATTATAATTACAACAATACAACAATAACAATAGAGGAGACCGTGGAAGATGGTATTAAGAAGAGCAGAGGGGTGAAGAATGGAACCAGTTAAGTAAAGGCTTTTCTGAAAAGGAGGGTTTTGAGTCTGGATTTGAAGGAGTTTAGAGAAGGTGACTCTCTAATATCCTTGGGCAAGGAGTTCCAGAGCTTGGGGGCATAGCAGGAGAAGGCCCTGTCGCCCATACAATGTAGACGGGCTTGGGGGACAGTAAGGAGGGCAGAATTTGAAGAGCGGAGGTTGCGAGGTGGGGAGTAGGGCGATAAAAGTTCAGACAGGTATTGAGGTGTCAAGCCATGTAAAGCCTTGTAGGTGAGCATGAGGATTTTAAAGTCTACGCGGAATTTGACCGGAAGCCAGTGCAAGGACTCCAGGATAGGAGTAATGTGAACACTTGCACTAGATCTGGTCAGGATTCTGGCTGCTGAATTTTGGACATACTGCAGCTTGTTCAGAGTAGATTTAGATACCCCAGGGAGCAGAGCATTGCAGTAGTCAATTCGGGAGAATACAAATATGTTGATCAGCTTTTCAGCCACAGTTAATGATAGCTTAACTGTGGTTTACAGGTAATGGGGACTCCCATTACCTCCCCATTACTTTACAGGTAATGGGGACTCCCCTTCACCACCACCAATGTGTAGCCCCACCTGGATGATGCCAGAACGCTCACCACACATCAGCTATCAGTGGGGAGGAGGGACAGAGTAATGAAGCCAATTCATAGATGGGGATTATTAGGAAGCCATGATTGATAACGGCCAATGGGAAATTTGGCCAGGACGCCAGGGTTACACCCCTACTCTTTTTGAGAAACAGCCTGGAATTTTTAATGACCACGGAGAGTCAGGACCTCCGTTTTACGTCTCATCCGAAGTACGGCGCCTTTTTAGGGTATACTGTATGCCGTATATATAATGTGGAACACTATTTATTGTCCTATTGAGGAAAGGCACATAGATACAGATCAGTGGTACAGTAGTCACCGGTGTGGCGAGCAGACGCACTGGGTTTCTAGGCTTCGCGCCCCAGCAGGTGGAGCTGCGGCTGGTTTCGCTGGTCCCGCCCCGGCGCCGCTCCTCCAATAAGGACCAGCAGCCTCACGCGCACGGCGAGGCATACAGGCCGAAAGAGAAGAGGGAGACACCGGGAGAGAAGTAATTACACCGGCACCGGGGGGGGTGAGATTCAGTGGTGTGCAGGACTGTTTCATTAAAAATACTAAGAACCCCGGCGGAGTAAGACGGAGATTCGGAGCTGAGACGTTTGTTGTTTAGCGCTGCGGATCCGCACCTGCAGACTTACCTCGGCAGGTAAGTACCTCTCGTCTCCTTTCGGACAGGAGCCTGGTTACCGCAGTTTCGTGAACAATGGCTCTGTTTTCTTCTTGGAAGCAGCGATTAATTAGTTCGCATGCAATTCAGCTACAGGCTTGGTGCGCTGGAAGCAGGCAGGCGAATAAAGTCTTCTGAGCCGTGGCGGCTGTGCGAATATGAATTATAATTCGGTGTTCGCTGTAGAGCTGTAGGGGACGTTTTGTAGATCCCCTATTGTAAAACGCAGCCTTCTTCCCCTTCCTCCTGCTCAGGCTGCTACCAAAGACTTAGACACACTGGTTATTGATCGGTCAATCGATAGCAAGTGAGCGCCTCATTAATATGGTGGATGATGTGGTTTAGCTGACGGTTCTGCACTAGATGTGTGATCCGCGCTCATTTAAGAGGGTGCTGTAGCTATGCAAACTGCGGTTTAAGCGGCGATGCTATCTTTGCAGAGCGCTTTACCCGTGACCTGCTACAAGAGCTGAGCACAGATAAACATGCAAATAACTACAGCGGAGCTCCATTTTCTCTGTCGCAGCTGCCGGAGGGGGGATTCCTTCAGCCACCGAGACTGTGCCTGCGGTGCGAGGAAGGGAGGCAGGGTGCACGCTGTAGGAGCGCTCCACTGCTGACGGCTAGCAGCCCTGCTTCATCCCCGTGTCCCGCTCTGAGGCAGGAGGCAGTCTGACTGGGGAGGCCCGGCGTGTGCGGGGACATCCTCTCCAGGCACACCTGGAGGAGAGGAGGGGGGTCGCTGTCACACTAAAACGCGTACACGAAGCCACTCGGAGAGACGGCACCGCTGCATGGAGGTTTTTTCTGTTTTTCTGAAGGAGAATGCTGCGACCTTTTAAAAAGACTTGGGGAATGTACAGGACACAGCCTGCCAAGGATTTGCTGCGCTCGCTGTCTGTGTGCATCAATTCAGTAGATCGGTTTAAAGTCACTGGCGTGGTAGTCGTGCTGCTTTTTCCTGTGTAACAGACGGAGGGGGAGAGAATTGTGACCCTGGGTTAATATTCGGGTGTCTTGACTGCTCTGTCCTGGGAGTACATTATTCGTTAGGTAAACGCTTGTGTCGTGCGGTGAAGTAAAGGGAGATGTAAACGCTGCTGAAAGGATTTTAAAGATAAGTGTTTGCTGTGGGATTAACAACATGGACCGGGCCGAGCCGGACCAGGAGTCCAGTGATCCCTCAGTCATTGGGGCGGCCGGGCCGAACCGGCTCCGACCTTCTTCGTACCGGGCTCTTAGAAGCGCCGTATCCAGCCTGGCCCGCATCGATGACTTCTACTGTGAGAAGATTGGCTCCGGCTTTTTTTCGGACGTGTTCAAGGTAAGACTGGTCTTTCTGACAGCTTTAGCCTGAGTGCGTCCTGTCCGGGTATGGACGTACTTGCACCCGTTCACCTGTCTCGTTTAAACCTCAGCCTACTCGCTTCTTCCAATCCTCACTGTCGGCCTGCTTATCTTTCAGTTTGCTGGAGAACCTTGGCGATGAGTTCAGACGTTTGAATTGAGACCTTTGTGTACCGTTGTTACCCTTAATGAAATGTGGGGCATTTTAATTCACTTGAAATTGGACCGCTTGTTCTATAGTTCGATAACTTATTTACCGGAGTACAGTGTGTGATCCTTCGGCAATGAGTTGACAGGCGGTTCAGCTCAGTTCTTTGCGATTAATCTTGCTCTGGGTTCTGCAAGTGGGGATGTGTTATTTGTGCCAATACAGCAGATCTGACCTCGTGGCGAGCTTTAACGCAAAGAGCCAGCTGGGCTGATCAGCAGCGAGCGCCGAGCTCGGAGCCGCTGTCCCGTGACCTCGGTAAGGCGCTCACCTTGACGGAAATTATCGCGTGGCGCCAGGGCTGAACACACGGCGGAGCACTGTGGGAGAAACTTTCTATCACGGAGACCAGTGATGTGCGTCTAGTACACCTATGTACTGTATATGACAGCCTTTTGAGCCATTTGTAGGATTTTACAAGTTGCAGACTGTTTTCACAAACTATTCCCAGCAGCCATATTACCCTGCAACTCACAACTGGCAACCCACTGAAGCTAGGCATGTGTGAGCCTGGTCAGTACCTGGATGGGAGACCTGCTGGGAAAAACTAAGGCTGCTGCTGGAAGAGGTGTTAGTGGGGCCAGCAGGGGGCGCTCACCCTG